CATATATATATATATATATACATAAAGTATTTTCAAGAACTAAATTTGTATTAATAATTAATGAAAACAAAGTATAATAGTATAAACATAGCATAAATCACTAATTTAATGTTATCTTGCATTGTTTTATTAATATTTTAAATTTCTTTTTCGTAACTTACAGTTTGATTTTCTTTATTTCCATTTAAATATATTTTGCCTTTGTTGCTATAGATTACTTTTATTTTACTAAATTGTTGACTTTTGCATACTGTATAATAATTAGGTTTTGTATCTATATCACTTAACCCTTTCACTGCGTGTACCCGGTAATACCGGGTATAAACACATATTGTTGAATTGCGCGTACCCGGTACTACCGGGTATGTAGAAAAAATATTGTTAAAAATCAGGAAGAGGTTCTGCGCCCTCTATAGTTTTTTTCTATGAACTATAATTAACCTTTTATAGGAAAAAAGTGTTTTCGAGTGGTTAGGCGCAAAATGGCGGGTGCACGGCCTCAAAACAGACAGTACAATGTCGACGAAGCTATGGACCAGATATTTGCAGATACGGATAGTGAAGATAACTTTGAATTGGATGATTCTTGCATTTCTTTTCCCCCAGTCGACTATGATAGTGACGACAGTGATTCTAAGGACGAAAACGATAATTCTCTCAATTTGGGAGGCCCTGCACAGGGTCAAGGTGGCAATGCCTTGATTCTGGTGATGAATCTGATAATGAATCGTATCCTTTACCAAAGCGCCCTAGACGAATGCAGTCACCTAGTCCTGATTGTTCGTCAGTTGATGAAAAAACTGCTGTTCTTTCTGATAAAAGTGAGCTTTCAAGTAATGAAAGCGATTCTGAAGATGAGCCAGCCAGAGGCAGACGTCGTGTACGTGGTGGTGGGATTCGTGGCCGAGGTGTACGGATTCGTGGTGGCAGAATTGGTGGCAGAGATGTAAGAGTTGAGAGAGGCCAGGCTCGTGCTAGAGGACGGGGCAAAGGCGTGCAAGGGCTCAGAACCCCAGGATTAATTGGGACATTGACATGAATGACAGTTATGAGCCCAAGCAAATTCCTTTCGTTGGTGGTGAGCGACTCAAAGTTAGGCTTGGCGCAAATGCAACTATTGATGAATTTTTTGCCCAGTACTTTACCAACGACATCTTCAGTCATATTGTAGTGGAGACCAACCGATATGCTCAGCAGTTCATCGAGGCAAATCGTGAAGGTTTAAAGGAGTTCTCTAGAGTTCATGCCTGGGTGGACACTACAGTTGATGAAATGAAGACATTCTTCGGTTTACTTGGACTGATGGGTGTTATTCACAAGCCAAGGCTGGACATGTATTGGTCTACGGATGATCTGTTAGAAACACCTATATTTGGCCAACTAATGAGAAGGGATAGGTTCTTTCTCATACTAACATTCCTACATTTTGCAAATAATGAGGACCCCACTTATGACCCTAGAGATCCTAATAGGGATAGGCTGTACAAAGTAAGATCTCTCATCAGGAAAGTCAGAGATCGCATGCAGCGTGTCTATGCCCCCGGAAAAGATATTTGTGTGGATGAATCTCTTCTTTTATTCAAGGGGAAGCTACTTTTCAAGCAGTGCATTCGAACAGAACGTGCTCGTTTTGGCATAAAATTTTATGAACTTTGTACATCCGAAGGCATCGCTCTCGATTTTATTGTCTACTCAGCTGAGAACATATTCAGGGATCATCAAGACCCAGAACCCTAAATGCTTGTTACTGAACGTATACCTCTGAACTTGATGCAGCCTTATCTTGGTCTAGGCCACACATTGTACACTGATAACTACTATACATCCCCAAATTTGGCTACTTACCTCCTTGATCATGATACATACATTTGTGGAACTATCAACCCAAAGCGTGCTAATTATGCTGTTGATCTTGGGAATGAAAGGCTTGAAAAGGGTACATCATGTTTCATGAAGTCACAAACTGGTAACATGCAGGCAGTAAAGTTCCGTGCGCTAAAGAACAAGTCAAATAATAAACCCAAGGAGGTATATATGTTGACCACGGAGGGTAGGGCTGCTATGGTTCCTACTGGAAAAAAAGACAAGGATAACAATCCTATACTCAAGCCAGCATGCATCATTGAGTATAATCACAAAATGAGTGGAGTTGATATGGTAGATCAGCAGCTTCATAGTGTGAGTGTGGTCAGGAAAACGTACAAATGGTACAAAAAGATTGCACTGAGGTTGTTTATGCAGTGTGCTCTGAGTGCCCACAAACTTCACCGCAAATTCACCCCATCTACCAAAGTTTTTCTAGCTGACTTCAAAGACCTCCTTACAACACTTTTGTGTTCCAGCCCTAAACTGAACAAAGATGTAGCAGGAAGAGAAACTGTACACAGGCTAACAGGGAAGCACTTTCCGAAAAAAAGAGAGGAAAAAGCTGGAAACTCTAAGAACAAGAAAGACAAAATGTGTCGTGTGTGTTGGGCGCGTGGACTTCGCACCAAAGCTGGTAGAGAAATAAAGACAGTGTGGATTTGCCCTGATTGCCCAAGTGAGCCAGGTCTCCATGCAGACAAAGACTGTTTCAGAACCTATCACACAAAATTAGATTACTCGAAAGGCCATGACAGAGAGGATAATCAGAATACATCTGATGAAGATGAGTAAACGTTGAATATGTGCGGTTTCCTTTCCACATTTCACACAATAGAACAGGCTAATTTTTATAGTTCTAAAATAAAGTAACCGTATGATGTTTGCAACGATGCATTTATATTTACAACCTGGATTATATAAAGCATAAATAAAAACGTATGGCAAAAAGTACATCTAACAGTGATTTTCTGCAAAATTTTATATTTTCACAATTTTGAAGAAAAACTTCGATTATTTGCGGAATAAAACGATCAAACTAACTCAATTTTTTTTGTTTTTATCCATCTTGTGTGTCTGCATCATTATAAAGTAAAAAAAAAACATTCCATAAAAATTTCATTGGGAAAAATTGGGTTTTTTATCAAAATTTGAGAAAAAACAGAAATTCAAAATGGCGACTTTGAGGTCACATGACTACCTAATTATGCAAAATACCAAATATCAATGTTCCTCGCGTAGGCCAACCTATTGCTCGCCCCAACACACAAAAAGAATTTCGAAAAATAACCTCTTTTAGTATTTTTATTTTTAATTATTTTAAAAATTAACTTTTTTCGTTAAAAAAAGTCCCAGCACAGGGGGTACATATACCTACAGCAGTGAAAGGGTTAATGTCTGCGTTTAACTTTTTTTTATTATGTAACATACTGTGTTAATTGTAAATAAGGTATCTGACGACCATAATAAAAAACAGCATTATATTTGTTGATTTGTAGTTCATGAATAGGCCAAAATGAAGTTTTTCTACTACTGTACTACATTGTTACTCTAGTTGTCATTGTTCTGGTATAACTGAAATAAAAACTAAACGCCTTTGTGCTGTAGTTGTCGTCGTCATCATCATTCTCGTTAGCAGAATCAATGTCATGAAAGAATTGAAAGAAATCATCATCATCTTCACCATTCTTGATGGCAGAATGAATGTAATGAAAGCATTAAAACAAATAATAGAAATATTTGTATTGTAATTTCATTACAGATCAAGTCTGTGTTTAATCAGTAGCCGTCGTTTAATTTTTCGGGCGGGTATAAAAGTTTTTTTTTTCAACCTTTTTAACTTGTAGCACGGGCTAATCCAGAATTTTTCAAAATGGGGGGGGGGTGCACAACAGTTTCAGAATAGATAAGAGAGTAACACATAACACTGACATGCATTGAAATTTTAAAAATTCAGTGTCAAAACAGGGGGAACGTGCCCCACCCCACACCGGATCCACCCCTGCAGAGTGGTTTTCATCATATATCTTGTTTGTTACAAAGTGTACATAGTTTGATTCTTTGGGTAAATATCGGCTTTCTGATATAAGCAAGTTAAGGTTCCTGCATCATTGTATTCAATGTAATTAATGTGTTTCAAATTTAACCATTGGTTTTAACAATCTATAGTAAGTCCAATATATTGGTATTTCTAATGAGAGAAATTTGTGTTGCTATATTATCCAGCCTCAAATAAAAAAAGTGCTTATAATCAATTTCCTAATAAAATTACTTTGCTCATATTTTTTAACAATTAAAAAAAACATTAGAAAGAAAGTTTGGTTTCTTTATCTTGGTAAACATGCTTCAAGTGGGGACTCTTAAATCGGCCTGCAGCTGGACTTGATCAGGTCTAGTGTAATAAATATACATTTTTTATTAGTCGTTATACACGTTAAAAATTATTATTGTTAATACTTGTAATAATAAATATATAAATATATGGCAACAATATAATCTAACAACAAACTACTGTATATATGAATAAATTATAGACAAATGTAAATACTTATATACATACATACATATAAAGAAATAACAAATATATTACAATATAAATATATTAAAAACAATATATTACAGTAACAACATATTTAAAACAGAAAATATATGTATATATAATATATATATAATATATATATTTCACTAATTTTTCACCATGAATAATTAATTTTGCATTTTATACTTTATCATTTCAGGTTAATGAACTGAAAAATATGGCAAAAAAAAAAAAGAAGACATGGAAAGCCTACATTCATATTGTATCTCCCGTTAAAAACAAACACAAATCAGTACTTCAAATTACAATTACAAACCACTGCAGACAATTTTCAAGAAACTGTTTTTCTGCTTCATAGCACACTGAATTCCAGAACTAATTTAAAACCAAAGTCCAGTGAAAATTAGGGATTTTAAGACCAATATTCTTATAAACTCAAAAATTAAAAAAAAGCAGTTGGAAGAGATACCATTCAAAATTTAGGAATTAATAACCCAAAACATTCTTTGCATTCGAGTGTGAGCAACACTAAACTCGTAACCATAAAAGCTAAGGTTATACAACTCTCAGAAACCAAAAAGTTCAACACAAGAAATGGGCTAAAAATATTACACAATGTATGCTGATTGATCCATCGTGTTCAGTACAGACAACTATTTGGGAAAATTTCATTCACAAAATTAAACATCTAGACTGCAGGAAAAAATGTTTGAAATGTTCAATAAGATGTCAATTTGCAAGTGATAAAAAGTATGTTTTCTGTAATAAACCGACTTATAATTAAAATAAAAGCCTTTATTGCTATCTTGTTACAAAATCGTGGAATCATATAGTTTTTAATTACTATACCCTAAATGCTCAAAAAATCGCCACGTCGTGGCTCTTAAGAGTATGTTATCCTTTTTTGTAACTAAAGAATTTGGGTTTTAAATACAATGTATACAGTGTTAAGATGAATAAGTTACACAATGAATACACAAGTATTTTTTTTTTGTATTAAAGTGTTAATACACTATGACATTGGACTTATGATAGGCCTACTGTACTACGGGAATGTGAGATATGTAACATGAGAACTGACATGAAAAGCACCACATCAGCATTTCTTTTTATAAGCTCAGTAGCCACATGTACCTCTTAAGTACCTATTTTTGTGGATGGCAGAAAGAAGATTAACTGTTCCATTCCAAGACCTGACTTTTTTATACAGTTTCAAAATGACAAGAATTTATTTTATTTTTAGGTGTATTATAAAAAACATATAATGGAACAGTCCATTTTTAAACTCATGAAAATGTTCATTATTTAATCCATCTTTTATTAAATTTATAGATGACATATGTTGATCTGCCTACGTATAAGACTGTCTTAAGTATAAAGAACTCTTTTATGATTACAAGAAAAATCCTGGGCATCAATGATCAGCGCAACGAAACTCAAAACATAATCATTCCTGAATTTAAAGACATTAAGAACCAGCGACTCGATGCGCCTTCTGTTTTCACATGGGGAAGTGATTTACACAGAATGGGGCTAATAGATGTTAAGAAAAGTGTCTTTAATCTTACACGCCAAGTTATTCGACGAGGAGAAACATTTAGCATAATTATCAACGCGCATGATCAGTACGGTCGACAACGAGTGCGGGGTGGTGATTTTTTGTTTGCAACTTTAAATAGCACCGATTCGAGTATACCTGGAAAAGTAATCGACTTTAATAATGGTACATACGAAGTTATTTTCTTTGCGGCTTGGACGGGCACCACAACGATCAACATTACACTTGTACATACTTTTGAAGCAATTCATTTTTTAAAGACTGTTTTATGGCCGATGGAAAAGCGTGTATTTTGGACAGGCACTTTTGCGCTCAACAACATTTCTGAATTAACACTGTGTGAAGTAAAATCTGTTGGAACGTGGGACAACAAATGCGAATTCCCAGAGCCAGGCGCTCTCGGTGGAAACATTTTACTTTGTGAGAAACCGAAAACTCTTCCATGCTCTTCTCTTGTAGCAATCACATCGAAAGGCAGTGGTGTTGATGTTAAAGCGGCCATCTTCAATAAACTTCGAGAGAAACATGCTGATATATTTTTGAAGTAAGACGTATTTTCAAGTACCAATCAAATTAAAAATACGCATAGTAAATACACATTACACAAATAGTTATGTGTCACTATGATTTCAGCTTATCGAGTAACATTAATATAATAGAGGAAAATATAATTTTGCTAACTTTTAAACATAACTATATTAACATCTTTTGGTTTCTTTGTATACATATAAACTTTTTTCATAATCCCAATACATTTGTTCTAAGATAAATAATATTTTCTTATTCGAGGAATGCAAGCTATGTACAATTCACCAATGGACCGAAACAGCTGATAATACAAGAATCCGGTAAGAAGTCTAATGGCCAGATTTGTAAACTAAAACTTGACAAATATAACACGTCAGCCTATATATCTTATTAGTGTATGCTTTTGCATCAGAATGTACCGTAGGGCTACGTGTACTTAATGGTTGTACATAACAATGGCGCCCCTCCCAGAGGTGCCATATCATAAATTTTCCATTTTGGGGCTAAGGTGGTCATGTAACATGTCTGATAACTACTTTATTAAATCTTGGTTTATTGCTTAGATACGACACAAAAGTGCCTTGCCAAAGAACGAAAGTACAGTAATTTGCACAACGATGATTTGAATGCACCCCCTTCCCCTCAAGGTTGAGAGTGAGTCACGAGCTACAATCGATGTACCAACCGTTTTCCACTAAGTTAATTTTTGAAATGCAGTAAAACCCCCCCCCCCCTTGGGACACCCCTATTCAGAGGACACCTCTATTTAGGGGACACTTTTCCGTGAAACGAGGGGCGATATATCTTTTAACACTGCGGCCAACCCCTATTAAGGGGACACCCCTATTAAGGGGACACCCCTATTAAGGGGACGGAGACACCTTCTGAGTGTGCCAAATAGTCGAATAACCCCTATTAAGGGGACACTTATTTTTTTCTATTGTATCACAACAAATACAACAGTCTTAAAATAAGAAAAATTCACTAAACTTTATATATTGACACATTTAGAGCAACATTTTAAGGAACTCTTATCGCCTTTCTACTGCTGCTTGTCAAGGGCAAGCTTTTGTTAGACTAAGTAATAATAATAATAATAATAATATTTTAACTGAAATTGCAAAAAGAATTTTGAACCAAGTAAAATTAATCTGTTTTTGTTTGGTAGTAGTTTGGTGTGTTCAAGTATTTTCATGGTTTGTTGTTTTGCTTGTATCTGTTTAAGTGGTGTTTTGTTCTCTCCTCTTATTGATCGAATTTTGTACTTTAAGAATTTTGTCCAATTTTTTCTTGGTTTTTATTTTAATTATTCTGGTATATGTATGAATAACTGTTTAATGAAATTGTTCTATTGTTTTAAAGTTATAGTAGGCTTACTACTTAACTTCTCTGTTCAGGAGGTTTTCTGTATAAATTGAAATTAATTGAAATTGAATTTTAAAATTTGAACAATAAACCAGAATTTTCTCCCCAAATTTTGAGAGTGAATATCGGTAAGGCATATTGCATGTGTTACTTCGTATAAACCAATCTTGTCATTTTTTACCCATAACTATTGGGATTTCTTTTTCTTCGTTTTTCATGCACTTTTATGGGATTCTAATTAATTCATCAACAATGCATCATGAAACAATATAAAATATAGAACTTATAAAACTACTGTTACATTTCTGCTGATTTCATATTATAAATAAATTGTATTTGCCTTGAAAATTATTGCTATAAATTAGTTGTAATTCTGCTGTAACTAATTATGTCAATAAAAATAAAATTATGAAGAATTGTATGTCATCGTTATATGAAAACATGACAAAACCCCTATTAAGGGGACAATTTCACGTTTTTGGTTAGTGTCCCCTGAAAAGGGCTACACTTATTCACCCCTATTAAGGGGACTGTTTTGGTCCCGAAGGTGTCCCCTTAATAGGGGTTCTACTGTTTGCATATTGCATATTTATGAACCATATAAAAATAAATCTTTAGATAAAGATTATCAGTTTACATATACAAAGTATATTTTAACTTTTGTGGCGAAACTGTAACTTTATATAGTTTCTCATTTTTAATAGATTTCAACACTATTCAAATGTTCATTGTTGTTTCTACTATTATAGAAGTGAAGTGGATACGTGAAGCCAAGAACATCAGAGATGTGATAAGTATACGTCCGTGTGGACCAGATTTACCCCTACCACTAAGCGATGGATTTTGGTCCGGCAAAAAGTGGAATTCATTTGCATGCGACACTAAGCGATGGACTGCAGGTCAAATTAGAAAATGTTTACGTGGGAAACGTTTATTTTTTACCGGGGATTCAACAACAAGACAATGGGGTGACGAACTGTTAAATATTCTCGGCCTTAAACCAACAACATATTCGCGATATTTTACTAAGTTGCATAATGGAATAATTAATTTTCAATTCAGGTTTCACAAATATTGGTTAGGTTCAGTCAAAGAAGGTGTTCATGACGGTCAATTCGAATCTGATTTACTTGATAACCTTACGTCATCTGATTGTGAGTACATAGTAGTCATAAGTCCATGGGCTCATTACTGCCAATGGACTCGTATTTCATTTACTGAGAGACTTCTTTATATCAAAAGTGCGATTAAACGGTTTAGAGCCAGATGTCCGGACGCCCCAGTCATAATCAAAACTTCACACCCACGATTTCACGGCTATGGTGGGATTATTCCAATGTCCAGTGACGGTATGCTTTTTGAATTTCGTCGCATGTTACAGGAAATTTTTTCAGGAATGGGTCTGCATTTTATTGATATATGGGCAATGAATCTTGCGTATCCTGTACCAAACGAGGTTCATATGCCAGTGCAAGTTATCCACGAAGAACTTCAGATGTTTTTCACGCATGTTTGTAATAGTTGAAAACCTGAATTTTATAAATAGGCTTTTGTATTTGTTTGTTTTGTAATTGTTTAAAACAAATTGTGATTTCTAACAAAAATTATAACTTGTTTATATTAATACCGGATGTTTTGGGTGAATAGTATTATATTTTATTATTATTATTATTATTATTTATTATTAATAATAATAATAATAATTGTGCTTGTATAGCTCATACTGCTAGAGCCTCTATGCGCTGTCCAGAAAATTACTGAAAAAGAGTGCAATTATTAGGAAATTCAAAGTTAAAAAAAAATTACCAGTGGAGATTCTATCATGTGATATTCTGTATATGCAGACTTCTATATTTATTTATTTATTCAACTGAGCATACACTTTTGTTCCAGTGGCACACAACAATTTGGTGCGTTCAATGAGAAAGAAAAACAACTAAAAGAAACTAATATTATACAAAACAATTATAAATATTCTTATGTTATGAGAAATGATAAGAAACTGCTTTCGAAACCATGCAACCTATCTTCTTTTGGTGCTCATATTGGTTTTTTTTTAAATCTAATCTATTCGCGACGTTCACACACTAGAGGGCAAAGATTTCGTTTGTATTTCAGGTGCAGTAGGATACGATTTTTCCAGTGGCTTTCCTACTGAGGTGACTGTCACTTGAAAAAGATCTCTGCGCCGTCAGAACCATTCTAAGCAATTGAAATAAAAATTAAGGGGAAAACTTATGATAAACTTGTGATAAAAAAAATGTCCCTTAATATGGTGTTCCCTGAATAGGGTACCCCATATAGGCGAGCAGATTATGGCCAAAAAGTCCTCTAAAAATCGTCGAGGTGGCAATGGAAGTACTACCGGCTAATTTTGATATTTTTTGAAAATATAAGTCTTGAGAAGTTCAGAACTCAAAATTACCCAAAATCCCTTTGGGGGAACACCTCCAAATTACGCATTCAAAATGGCCGCCATTTTTCCGCTTTAAATTATAGTTTTAGCTAAATTATATATAAAATAACATCACTCGAATAATCATCATCAACAATTGGTGAAACTTACTCAAAATATACGTTAATTATCGAAAA